ATGATTCTTTTGTTGTAGTGTCATTAGCAAAATGTAAAATTTTGTTGTCTAATTAATATGCTTGCTAAATTTACTGGCTAAAACCTTTTGAGCAGAAATGTTTTGTGTTTATGCCAACAAAACATTTTCAATATTTCCGTTGGCTGTTTGTAAGTTTTGTAATGAAAAAATTAACTGTTCTAGAATTTATGCACACCATGTGTGTTTTAGGCCATAGGTTATCCTTCAGGGTTTTGTGCCTCTATCCAGTTCTATGTTCCCTTTTCAAAATATTTGATAAGAGTATATGAAAATAAAAACTGTAGTGTGAGAAAACGGTTCTGTGCATTTCTTTTTTTCTCCCTGGAATTCCCAACCTCTGTCTCCCACCTAGTCTGTTTAATTAGCACTCCTCGGTATCCTACAGCTGGAGGCAATTTCTGAAATCCTGGGATAGGTAGCTTTTCGAAGATTGAATTTTATTTTGTTGGATTTTTTAATCAATATGATCATACTGTGTTGATAAGGTAACTATGATATTCCCATTATGAAGAAATCATTTTATTTCTCCATTTTTCCCCATTTTTCTTAAAGTTTTACCAAATATAGTTATTTACAGTCTGACTTGAATTTATAGGAGTGTGCCGAAAAACAAGGCCAAATCGAGCGAACCATTAAGGAAAAAAAAGCAGTGGAAGAAGAACTAGAAAAGGTAAAAAGAAAAAGGAAATATAACTACCTAAAACCCAACTGCTAATATTCAACATTACTGTCTGTTACCATTACACTATTTGCTAGTAACCCTTTTATTTATTAGTATTCTCCTGGTGAGTGTTTTTATTTTCTTGGAATATATTCAGAGTCTGCAATTAAATACTGGTATTGTCTGGATACATTTCTTTCGAATAGTGGCCATATTCTTTGAACTTTTACTTAAAGGTATAAATTTTATAAAGTAGCTATATTCCTTGTGTAAACCTCATCCCAATAGTAAATTTCATTTTCACATTCTTTTCTTTTTGAATTTTATTATAGGCCATCCATAAATATAACAAGTATATATAACTAGGAAACTATAATGTTGCTTTTACCTTTTAAAAGTACAGATTTTTATTTCATAGTTAGGAAAAATACTTACCCCAATGATATTTGAGAGAAAGTACTGAGAAAGTCTATAGTTTAAAATTTCTTTCTTTCTTATACTTTTTTCATTAGCAGTAAATATCCCACTCATTTAAAGTGCCTTGGGAAAAGAAAGGGAGATCAAATTTGATTGAGCACTTGCTGTGTTTTAGCTGCTGTATTAGAAATTTGCTAGAGAGGTTAAGTAACTTGCCCAATGCTAAGAAATAGTAGATGGTAGAGTCAGAATTTGATTTTCAAAGAAGAGCCATATAGCATAAAAATCATATGCTATATCTATATTATCAGCATGGAAAAATGATGATGTCAGATAGTAAAAGAGTAATTCATAAAGCAAAACATAATAGCTTGTGGAAAAAATGTATACATGTGTTCAGAGTAGGACTTCTGTGGTTACCACTGTCCTACAACGTAGATCACTTCTGAGTTTCCATCTGCCATGTCAGATAGGTCCCTTTTAGATTGCCATATGCTAAGCATAAGGGTTTGAGATGAATTTTTTAACATCATATGGCATAAGTTAAGGAACAGGCTTATTGGAGAAATGTAAAACTTACAAGGGTAAAGGCAATAGGGATAAAGAAGGCACAGCTCCCTCTTCTCCCATGTCCCAGGGAGCAGTGTGTTGAGGTCAGAGTATTGCTGGGGCATCTGTATTCTAGTAGCAGAACACAGACAGCTAATATTCTACCTTTTTATAGAGCAGGAATGACAAAGCAGTCCTGTTAGTGAGGAAGACACAGATTACTTGGCCAGGCAGTCTGGATTTGGAGGGTAGCTGTGCGCAGGATTTGTCTCACAGTGAACTGCCTGGCACCTGGAGCCCTTGAGTCCCATGGGATGTTATAGCCCCTGTACTGTGAGAAGAAGCCCAGTCACACAGGGAGCTGTGCTTAGGTACAATTACTCCTGGGGAAGGGGGCATAC